GACATTCCCATCACATCTGGAAAGACTTATGCTCTGACTGGGATGCACAAAAACACAAACAGACACACACAGAAACATACACACTTTAAACATACGCGCCAGGCTGCATGCCTGAGACGCTGGGGGTTTAGAAAGCTAGAACACATTTACCAGAATACGAAAGTAAAGTGAACACACAACCCTGACGTCTCTCACACTCACACACACTATTTCCGTTTCTCTTTATCTCACACGCAAAATTTCGCCATGCTTTTAATGCCGCGTCATAGGCTTCTATTAGCTCAGCACACACTCTACCCAGAACACATGGACACACACACTCAGCTCCTGTGTAACCCAGTGCAGTCAGCGTTCCCGTCTCTGTTTCCTGGCTAAATATGATCCTGTATAGTAACTGGAGCCTGGTGCTGGTTAAGCCCGGTGCTCATATCCAAACAGTCTGGATTATGAACCCAGGCCAACAGTGCCACCCAGGACTTAATCATGTTTGCAGTCAGTCTCCGCTTCAGACAGTTCGGAGATGCTGAATAAGAGCCATGGTACGTCACAGACAAACCAAACGAGGGGCTGCACTGACACATAGGGTGGTTGGTCAGAAGTCACAGGCTTGCTGGCTGGATGAGGGAGCTAACAGCTGGCATAATCATCAGGCCAGAGGAGAGGACTCAGTGGGGTCTTCTGGTGTGCAGAGGCTAAAGTACATAGTTCAGTTCTCACAACATTATGCTGTAACATCTGGACAACCTTTAACACCAGAATCAATACTTAATCCAACACAACCAAAAGGATGACTATAAAAACACATCTGCTTGGGTGTTGCTGTTTGGACTGGACTCCTCTTTTCTGTAACAGTATTTCAGTTCACATTTCTTCTTACTTACTTACTCACATCTATGGCTGATAATTAATTGAATTTAAGCTTGCAGGACACATTTCTGTTTAAAAAACTTCAGTGAAGTGACGAGCCATTACATTTTATCAACTGAAAGCAGCCATCTACTCTTTTTTTTCTCATCAAAACAAAATATATTACATTATATAT